CACCACCGGCGCCTGCCGCTGCCCACCCGGGGTGGCCGGCGAGCTCTGCCAAGACGGTAAGCCCGTGGAGCTCTGTCACCCGCCTCGTGCCACGGTGGGGGCGATCCCCTTCCCTCTCGCTGCAGCCCTGGGCCGGGCACGGGGACCGTGCGGGGTGCGGGGTGTCTCACCTCGCTGCCAAAAGGCAGGACGGCCCTCTGCGGGGCCCTGACGTCAGGCACAGAGCACTGGGGGCTCCCTCGCAGTTTCCTCTTCTCCCCAAAATGTTTTCCGGTAAGGAAATGGCCACAGCGAGGTGGGGGTGATGCTCCCCCACCTGCGGAGGTGGCTCCTTCCTGCTTTAGTTAGTAAAGCATTTGCTGTAATTTGGTAAATGGCTATTACAGCCATCTCTGATGCCACTCTTTGATGTTCCCGTTGTGCTCCTCAGAAGCCTTAAAATCTTTTCCGCAGCGTACCTTACCCTGCTCCCTTTGCAGCTGGTCACTGAAAGCATCTTTCAGCTTTTTTGTTGAGCCATCCCAGAGTGAGTGGCCCTAACACATCCCCGCTCCATCTGACTCGGTGGGTCACCTCATCTTGCACGGAAAGATGTCATTTTAGTAAGGAAAAGATGGTAGAGGGTGTTCTTCACCCACAAAACAGTGTTCCGGGTAGTTCTCCTTTCTTTGCACTGGAAGGATTTTGCAGTCCCTGTTTGCTACTCAGCAGTGACGTGGGCAGCCGTCTGTATTTCATGGGACATTCAGTGGCGGACACAGAAAAGGATGTCAAAAGTGGATGTTCAGGGGTAAATTTACAGAACTGTGGAGGTGTTTTCTGCTGAAGAAAAACCAAGGCGTTGCAAAGCTGTGACAACAGTAGTTACCCAAAGTACTGCAAAAGGAGGTGTCCCTTGCTGTTGGTAGGTATTTGTTCTCCCAAAGAGTTAAAATCTGGGGGACGTAATCTAAAAACACAGAAAGAGTGAGACAATAAGAGATTCAGACAAAATGACTTCAGACAAATGGTTAGGAGCATCTGGGAACTATTACTGAAGGAGGAGACCGAAGCAGAATGTAAATGAAGGCAAGAGATGCCCCGACCTTTTCTTTCTGTAGGAAGGAGGTGATTGAGGGGTACAGAGAAAAAACAGGAAGGTAAGATTAAAATAAACAATGAAGAACTGATCTGTTGTCCCAGGGTGGCATTTCCTCTGCTTAAACTCTGCTGTTCCTGTCGTAGGGGAGCAGGCGTGTGCTGCCCGGGCAGATGTTGGCCGCAGCTTTCTGCTGACGCAGCGTGTCTGCCATGTGCTTCTAATATGAACATCTTTAGCATAACAGAGAAAGAACAATAATTTCGCTCTCTTAATAGTGCAAATATCGCTGTTGTTTATCAATAGGAACAGCCCTATGGATTACTTTCTCTCGTATGAAAAACTTGACCTCTCAGCGCCCCGCAGGGTAGGTCTCTCGCCCGCACAGCGTTACCGGTCCCAGCGAGGTGCCGGTGCGGAGCTGATGGGCGCCACAGGGCTGGCGAGTGGCAGCGCGAGAGATGCACTGGGCATGGACGGCAGTGCCGACCGCTGAAGCAAGCTGAGTTTGAGCTGATGCAGGGAAGCCGCTTGCTCTTATCGTTCCCGTATTGTGTAGAGACACAAGCACGCTCCCGCTCAGAAACCCAGCCAGCCTCCTCTTCCATGCTCGCTCTCCCTTTGCCCAGGCTCATTCCCGGTGGTGTACGGCTTTGACTTTGGTATGGTTTTCCTACGGTCTGCTGGAAATAAAGTGACGGGCTGAAATCAGCTCATCTTCCCAGAAACTCTCTCTCTGTTACTAGGATGCCCTAAAGGATTTTTCGGGAAACAATGCAGGAAAAAGTGCAACTGTGCCAACCGGGGTCGTTGCCATCGGATTTACGGAGCCTGTCTGTGCGATCCCGGCTTATACGGACGGTACTGCCATTTAGGTATGCTGCTCCTCAGCTTTTTTACGAGTTAGATACTACTCTTAGATTACAGCTTTTCTAGGTCCCATCCCTGGGGAGGGCCAGCGCTGGGGGCAAAGTTCCTGTC